AGCTAAATGAAGTAAGAAGTAATACTGGCCGTGGAAAATGAAAGTAACATAGACATCTCGAGAATTTTTTCAGTTTGCTGGAGATCAGAGATCGATTTTACGTTCTCGTCATACTACATACTTACTTCGTAAAGGGAAAGTAATGTAATGCTGTAGCCGGAAGTGGATAATTTCCTCAGAAAAACTCGAGTATTATGAGGCCCTGATATCAAAAATGTAGAAACATGTTTCTATATGTGGTACGTTATTTCCCGTAAGTGGGAAATCAGAATCCACGTTTTGCGAGACTCTGATACCAAAAAATTGGTTTTCGACAAAACATCTTAATGTTGTCTATGTATGTTAAATGCTAGTACATAAACTATGTAGATCGGTTCAAATTCGAGTCCTGGTAAACTTTGATTTTTTGGAAAGGGGGTAATTTGTATGCCTTAACTCTTTCAACCTTTTCCCAAAACTGACTCCAATATTTTTATTAATTTCTTTGAATCATTTTGGCTGTCTGGGTGATCTGGAAGGGCCACTACGTAAACACCGGAGTATTGAACCTGTCACGTGCCTCGCGTGGAAGCTCATGGAAGCGGGCGCCGCGCCCCAAAGCGCGGCGCAGGCGGAGGTGGCGGTGGCGCTGGTCGGCGCGCCGTCGGCCGGTGGGAAGGCAACGCTCCGAGGCGCCGCGCCGCGCCGGTGGGGCAACCGCGTCTGCGGCGCGGCGCGGCGCCCGCGAGCCCTGGAGCGTGGCGGCCTCGCGTGCGCTTGCGTGCGGCAGCGGCGGCGTTTCTCCGCCCGCGCCCGCCCCACGTGCGCACACGCACGCGCTGGCGCATTCGCAACCACGTGGCCGCGGCGGCGGCACCGCTCCCGCCACAGCCACCCCTGCCGCCGCCGAACGAGTTGCATTTCCCTGATCGGCGAGCTACGCCCCCAGGCTGCGGTGCATTCACGTGCCTTCCATTAAGTTGGTGGCGATGGTGTAACGGTTAGCGTACCGGACTGTTGTACCCAAGTTGGCGGGTTTAAACCCGATCGATACCGTGGATTTTTAAGGGCGAAAAAATCCTTCATACGCCTTCCTTCGGAGGGGAAGTAAAGCCGGCTGTCCCATGTTTGTAGATTTACTTGCATGTAAAAGACCCTCAAGCCTAAATGACGCCTCTGAGCTACATTGAAATCGCCTGTTTCTCGCCCAAGAAATACCTCCTTTCTCCGCTAGTTGATGAAAGGAGCGAAGCAAAATTTGCGTTGTCAGACGGAAGAGCAGGCCTCATGGCCTGAGTCTCGCCACGTAAAATAAGGCAAATTCAATTAAGTCATACACTTCTATTGAAGGTCTTGTAGCAGGAAGAAGATATGCCACATCAGCCACAAATACACTTCCGTTATTCCTAATGATAATATCTCGTTTTTGGTCAGTTTATTAAAAATTAAGGAATTGAGGCAGTATCAGGGCAAGGGCAGGCAAGGGCAGTGCAGGGAATCGAGGCAAGGTCAGTGACACATCAAAATCTAAATTTTAACTTTTACGAGTTTTGTGAGACTTCCTGTCTCTACTGGCTTATCTAGTTATTGTCCCACATCTTTTCATAAATTAGCGAACTGAACAGTCACTTAGTTTCGGTTAAAGTCGTTTACAGCACTTGAGTCTTAATCATTCGCCTGGTTCTTCGGTACCACGCTTAAGAGGAGTGTATATCAGAGCCATGATAGGCTCTTCTGAAGCGTGACGGGAGTTGCCAAGAATGTGCAGTACGAAAACTGATCCATAACTGGGTATCCTCTACGTACAGAAACCGAAACAAAATATTTAGCGTTTTTATAATAGCCCTTTACCAATCCCCCAAATTTGGTTGTACACGGAATCACCCCGTATATCACTAAAAATATTCGAATTTACCTTTATCTTGTACTACAACGAGAAAACGAAATCGTGTATTTTATAATCATACTTTAAACTTCTTTTACACCCATTCGACAACGTACGTGAAAAATGACACAAGCAGACATCATCAGCACGGGATTCTAAACCGCGAACCTTCAACCTAAGGCGCTGACCATGAATCTGTTTGCGCTTTTAGTCGCATTGGCGATCCAAGTCGATTGCTTATTCTAATAATCGTCAATTATCCTCATTATTACTATTCTACTTCGAACTTTGTCTTTTACGTTTCAGTTTTTTAAATACATGTGCTATCTGGGATATATCGCTCTTATTTAATCTAGATCTTTTCTTCCATTCCAGTTTTCACACAGAAAATGTATTTCAATGGGCCAAATTATTTAGAATTATACTTTGTCTACATTATGAATCTTATTGAAGAAACACGCCAGATAAAAAGATACCAGATAAAAACAGATTATGGTTTTAAAAGCATAACTGCTTCAAAATTTCCAGGAAAAATTGGTCATGTCATGAATTTTAAACTTTTTTGTCCTTAAATTTCTCTTTTTTCCTTTAAATTCGTTTATTTTTTCCCCGCCATAAAAATAACATCAATTTTCGTTTAAGATTTCTTATTTTTAGCAACTTGTCATATTTCTTCCCTACCTCCACACCCATATGAATTTTGCCGCATCCTTATTCCATTAGAATTTTGCATTTTACATTTGAATGATGTAAAATAGAAGCTACCTTCTGAATTTGATACCCTGTTACTGAAAGCACATGCAGTTTCAGCTCACATCTGCGATAACATAATATTATGGACGAGATTTTTCAAAAGTCGTCAATTCTATACAATTTCCCGTGTTTCGGGTACCTTAATATCAAATTTTAATGATGATGAAGTCGTAAGACACAATTATCATTTCACGTTGGTCCCATGGTGACCACTTGACCCTACACGTGCATTCATACCTAATGCTGATGAAACTTATAATTGTTAATGATTATTATTCATAATGTTAGAGTTTTTATTTATTTATTTTATGTCAAAAACAGTTGTGTGTGTGTGTGTGTGTGTGTGTGTGTGTGTGTGTGTGTGTGTGTGTACGGGGAGAAGTGTATTCTGTGCAAGTTTTCTCAATTCTGGTATCCCCACCCTACAAGTTGAATTCTGAATACACAAAATAAATTAGAATTTTGGCAAGAATTGTTAACAAAATAGTATCCCTGATGTAATAAAATCTATTTTCAAAGGCAAATCAGCTACAGATTTGGGTTCTTCATCATGTACTTTGTGTAGGAAGATACATCTGTCACAACATGGAGGACGATAATTTGAATAACTATATTTCCCGCTGAATTCTAATTGTGTTCTGAACCGCTCAATATCTTATTCCATATACCTGACATTTTTGATTAACCAAATGAGAAAATTACAACTTTTCGATTTTTACTTCCAGCACATTGACTTCCAAACAGTCAACGTTCACAAACATACCAAACTTTGCCTATCATGTAGACAACCAATAAGAAATTTACATTATCACGAGTTTACACGGCAGAGAGTTTCGGGTCAAACACGGGATGGATACTGACAAGTAATTATCCCTCCCCTTGCCTATATAGCATATCATAATATATAATTATTTAACATAATTTACATTTCGAAATATTAAGAGTATTTTGATTTCAGTACGACAATTGTAAATAAGAGACGCAGGAAATAGAGATGAGCTACGAAATCATCTTCAAGAAAAGTCGCTGTTGAGCGAAGACTATGGGCTTTTAAATCGTGCAGCAGCCTTCAAACTTAGTATTACACTCAATCAGCCGGATACAACTCTTCGTAAAACCGAATTTACATTGTTTTTGCTCTAATTGTTTCAAGGGAAATTCTTTTATTTTCCATTACTGAAGATGAAATGCTTTATAAATTTGCTAAATATTATGTTGTTTTTAAATCCAAGATAAGAACCTAATATTTCTCACTTCAACGCAGTGATAATGACTTTATTGCCTACAGTATTAATAATTATTTAGAAGTTTAGGTTATAACAAAAAACTAAATAAATCTTAGTGAGAAATAATTCGAATATCACGAATGAATTGATTAATTTGTATTTGAAAATACAGTATGTCGTCATATTACCAAGTCATTATTCTCTCTAGAAGAATTATGCCGTTGTCACATTGGTGATCCCGTATGTTGGGTTAAGTGCGGTCGAAGAGCATACTCTATACTCACTGAGCCCTCATTAATACGAGCTCTTTTTCCTGTGTTGTTAGCAGGAAGCACAGAGCAAGCGATGGGAACACATTGAGCCCAAACCTGAATACAATCATCCACCCACTTGTTTATACAATTGTTTTCAGTGTATAATTTGGTACGAGTATTAGAAGAAAGTATATATCAACATTCTCTTATCAGTTTATTAGCAAGTATGATACTATACGAGACATTTTTACATTTATTGATTATTTACAATGAGACATGTTCATAAACGGCATGAGAGGTACGAAATTCGAATTATTTCTCAAATAGCTTTTTCCTTTAAAACTTGTCAACTTCTTCACCTATTCAAAAAAATTTTCAAACTTTCTCTAGTCAATTATATTTCCTCAGCATAGCCTGACCTTGGCTTTGATCAAGGGAATCAAAAATACAAAGAAATAAAACGCTCAGTGCATTTTTCAGCATAAATTTCAAACATAACCGTGTTTCACGCTTCATTTGCATTACTCAACTCAATAGTTCACGTCACTTGTTTCAAAATAAAATGACAAGACAATCCAACAGGGCAGGGAGGGGAGACAATCAACAGAATATAAATATAGCAAGGGGACACAATTCGTAGCGGTTTCCGCCTGTGTAGGTTCCGAAACACTCCTTCGCAAATTGCACATAAAACGGTGTTCAATAAACGATCACGTATCAAGTTATTTTGCCACTGTATTTGGCATATAGTCGTAATACACTATGCCATTAGGCAGGTGAAAGTACTGAAAGTATCAGTAAACAAGAGCCCTTGCTAATTCAGCGACCCGCTTCTTCCTTCCCGCCAAAATTCACATTTCTGATTCTTGTTTCTTTTTGCTTTTTTAACAGTGCTGAACTTACCGCGTCTGCGCAGTCAGCGCGCAGGGATACTTCCGACGCTCCGCACCCTTCAGCTGTGCACCGGCGAACGTCGTACAATCCAAACACACGCAAAGCACTCACCGCTGCTGCAAACGGCAGCTCGCTCGCGACTGTCCGCGCCGCGTCCCACGGCCGAGCCCCCTCCCCTCCCACTCCTGCCCCTCCTGGCCACCCCTCCGCTGCACGGGGCAAGGCGGGGCGCGTTACGCGTGCGCTCGTGACGCACGTGACGTCACCCAAGGGTTGTGGCGTGATCTACACCAAAGGGCTGCCCCCAGCTGTTTGGCGCTCAAGCAAGATCGATGGTCCAGGAGGCTGCATTCTGCAGAGCAGGGTTTCCGCCAGGAACTCTCTGATCATCTGGGAGGGAGAGTTGGTGGCAGGACCGTATTAGAGGTGGACTGAATGAACTACACCTGGGGCACCCACCTTTCAGGAACATCCTTCAAATGAAACCAGTGGTGCACAGCTTTCTCGAATTATTTGTAATGTTCACAATTGTCAAACATTCAACAAAAATGAACCTACGGCATTTTTAAAAGCGTATTTTGCTCTATTCTAGAAAAAATAGAGCAGTTTTTTAAGGATACTTTTTTATTTTGCCTTTATTTCAAGCAAAAACTACGCGAAAATTACACATGTTTTCAAAAAAATTGTACATAACCTAATTAAATGATTTATTTTTAGAACAGATATAATTAATATAAAAAATCTCCGTCTTCGAAATTGTAATTTTGCGATGTAAATTGTTTGCAATTTTCACAAATACAGAGTTCGCCGAAAGTAAACTCTCCACCATTTTTAAATGCAAACTTTGCTCTATTCGAAAAAAATGGAAACCGGTTTTGAAGAAACAATATAAACTGTTTTTGTTACAAGCAAGAATTAAGCGTCAACTGCTCGTTTTTTCGAAAATTTGTACATAACCTTGTATTAGATCTGAATTTTTAAAATAGATTTCTTTGAAAAAAATATCTTACAACAGTATTGTATTTTAGCGATGTTAATATTTTGTAATTTCAAAAATATTGAATTGACCAAAAATGGGACTTCCAAAAATTACTAATGGTCTTTACCATCACGTTAGTTGTTAACGAAAAATAAGCCGTTTGTGACAGAATTTCAGTGAGACAGCAAAACGTTATCGATGATTGGGAGCATGAAGTAATTGGGCTTCGGGCGAGAGGAGGAGGAAGGCCGAATCTCACTTGTTCCTAGTGGTCTGGGCTGTGCGAGATTGTGGGCGGGGGGAGCTTGAGTATTTCGACATTTATGTGTGTTATTCTGGAAACCTTACACTTATTTTGCCATGTTGAAATAAAGGAAAAATACCAAAAAGTAAACAGTTTCTGACTTACATACAATATTCCCCTTTAATCCTTTCCGAAGCTTTATCGGCATACAGCTGGATTTCTTAGTTTGTATGGGTCAGCCAACTCTTAGTCGGGATTCTCAACTATTCTTCTCGAACATAAAACTGAGTGACGCACAATTGAAAATCTTCGTAAACGACAACAATCCATGATGGGTTTTGAAACTGACTTCGAGTCAATTATTCACTCCAAACCTTAAGGAACTTCAAAAGGAAAAGCCAAAGGGTAATTTAGTTTTGTTATTATGTGGATCATTTATTTAGAAGTTCACTGTCAATAATATCGAAGATTCTCTAATTACATTACTCAATAAGTATCTATTTCATTTTGTCAGTGGTTTGGAAAGTTGCGGTATCATTAGTAATTTTGTTCCAATAAAATAATCTGACATAGTCATTAATTCGTTTATTGAAAGAATTATTTTATTGATTAATGGATTAGGGTTTTCGGGGCGGTCAACTGCTAAGGTCATTAGTCCCGTAAGTGTAGGCATGTTTTTTTCCTTCGGGAGGTGGTGGTGATCGTTATCCGCTTGATGGCAAGATCCGGCACCCACCTACATCGGCTTGCGGTATTTTCTCCTGCTAGGTATCTCCCACCATCGTGGCACCGCCCCAGCTGTGTCAAGCTCTATTCTCCCATCTAGTCTCCCGACAAGTGTGAAAATGTAGTGCATGTGAATGTAAGTATTTGTAAGTAAGAGATGAGGATATGGCAAGGAAGAGGAAAGAAAGATCGCGCGTGGCCCTTCAAAGAAATAAACATCTATTTTATGAAGATCGTATATTTGTTAATAAATATATGATTGAACTAAAAGATGGGGATTAATGACTAATGAAGGTAAGTTAGGTATATTCTTTTCTGACAGTCAAAAATTGTTAAAGTTGCAGGTATCTTTTCAACTTGCGTAAGGCAATTTTCTTCTAAATGCTTTATAAGAAATAGTTCTCTGTACTTGAAGTCGATCATACCAACAGAAACGTTGATGGAAACCTTTGGGACTTTTCATGTTGTAAACAACTCTTGTATATTTGCTCTTATTTAAAAGTAAAAAAAAATAATTTCTTCTTCTAAAATGCCATCTACCACTTTTGAAGACCCACCAGCTATTTCCCTCTTTCTCCTTGACCTAAATGAGCACGTATATAACGTATTTTTTAGATTTTATTAATCGTCTTCCTATTCATTTATATTTGGATAAAGAAACATTATCCTGCGCCCCAAGTTGTAAGCAGTATTTTTCTTTCACCCTTTCCGATTGTTCCTATAAAAGTAACATGCTAACGTCTAATGCAGGACTGTCCAATGGCGGCCCGTGGTGAAATTTATTGTGGCCCACGAAAGGATTTTAGCCAAACGTGAAAGTCCTTTGCATTCATGTCGGGCAAGAACATTACGCATTACGCCCTGAGGATGGTCGCAGAATGGCGACCGAAACGTCGGCACCTTCGCCATGGACGCGGCGTCACCCGGACAGCCTAGTAAATACTAAATAAGAACATTGTTCCCCTAGGGCACGCACCCTGTCGTGATCAACACCTCTTTAATGTAAAAATAGGTTAAGTTCAGATTTAAGGATTTTTTCAAACAAATTCAGAAATTCGAAACATCCCAATGTGTTTCACTTCGTTATGCATGGAACGGCGAGATATCACGAATAGTCCCATCCCCCTTTTAGAGCAGCCGGGCAGTCGCTGAGATCAACAATATGGCGGCACGTGTGGATCACCCTAGGAATGAAAATATGGCCCGCAACTATGTCAAAGGTTTTAGTTGGGGTCTTCGAGGTCTTGCAAGTTGGACAATCGTAGTCTAACAACTAGACCTCGGAGTTCAGGAAAATGCCTGTTTAATTCCTTTAGGATGCTGTGGACAATAATTGCAAGTGTTTATGAACCATGAAAAAATATATCTACTGAAAACATCTAATAGTGCCTTATAATGTCCCTAAAGGAAGGTTGATGTCTATTTTAATATGTTTTTGCCTAAAACTACCTAAAACAAGTAATTTTCAAGAACGATCGAGTTGACGTGCAATAATAATTCATCTGGTCCAAATGACCTCAAATTACATCTGAGAAATTAAAATTTCAATTAATAATTTCAAATAATTTTACTGTATGAATATTAAACAATATTAATCTATTAAATAATATGATTGTTTTACTATTTTGTTTCTAAATACATATTAATAAAAAATAAATATAAATATATGTACTTAATATTCTCACCTCTTTATTAAATAAAACCTCCACTCCAGAGAACATGTAAGATATACATTTTCATTCCCCTCTCCCTGCCAAAAAAATGCACGAAAAAAAAAAAACATGCGATGGCCGGGAATCGAACCCGGATCAACTGCTTGGAAGGCAACTATGCTGACCATTACACCACCATCGCTCTACGTGTAACGATAGGGAAAAATATTATATTTAAATATATTGCAAAGGTCATAAATTCAAAGAATACTTTTTAATTTGACTTAATGAATATTTATGTTTTATACATATTAGATCATACTTGATATATTATTCTTTCGATATTCATTTTCGTCTGATATTTTTGTGATAAAGTACTACATAGTCTTGTTTACCATTGAGGAGTTAATCCATCGCACAATGAAATTATTTTCAAATTACTCACTTCATTATTCAGTATTGTGAAACATTTCAACAAAAATTTAAAAATGGAGGCGCCGGGTATCGATCCCGGTACCTCTCGCATGCTAAGCGAGCGCTCTACCATCTGAGCTACGCCCCCCGCTTGCAAAACCGGTTTTAAGTTTGTAAAGTTATTGTATAGAATATAACCTCAAAATGTTTATGTTCATTGTTTGTAAAATTGATAATTGAGCTCTTTATAATTTTGTGATTTTTTTTATTTTTAATTGTATTATTCTATGATTTTTTTATCATCAGAAATATAGCAGTCAACCAAACGAAGAGCAACGCTTTCTTACGGTTAACATAGTAACTATTAGTATAACAAGAAAGCATCATTTCTGCAATGAATGGTACGAATGAACGTAATAAACGCACCGCCACCAGTTCTGAATGGCGGCATTTTCAAAGAATTCCTATTAGCATTAAATGGATGGTGGCGCATAACCTCCACACTACTAAGAAATAATATACTGAACACCTAATTATGACAGACGATTGTTAAATATGTGGACATGTTTTTTTGGCCTGAATAATGCATTCAGACACCCTCCTTTATTAACCATTGTCAATAAACACGGATGGTTAAAAATAAAAACACTAGTCCACAAAAATAAACTGTTTTCTTCCACAAGAACGAAAATAACAGACTCTAGAAGTATTTTTTGTACTGAATTCAAATGTCATTTCAGTTTTTCTCCGTCAGTAAGGTGTTATGTGAGGTATTTATTTGAACTTTTATAATTTTTTGCAAAATCAGTAACTAGTTATCCAACTGTAAATGGTGTTCTACTCATCCTGACTTACATTTTCACTTCTCATTCTGTTCCTAGAAAGTGATAATGATAATTTTCAAGTATATTTTGTATTTAGAAAATCTCTCTTCTTGGTCCAACAGTAGTCAGCCAACATAATAGAACTACACTTGCCTTAGTACACGTTTTCAATTGTAGAAATTTACTGATGAAAATGCTCACTGTGCTAATTTCTGACAGCCCCAAGATTTCCCAGATGAAAGTCTAATTCAAGAGTCTAAGAAGGGAATTTTCAAAGAATTGTTACATTCCAAATTCATAAAACAGCAGAAAATCAGCCACTATATCTGTTAGTTTTCTAATTGATGGTTTCTGAGAAAATTTGCATTATATTATACATATTTGAAAGACTGCCAGGCTGCTTTTTCCAGTGGATTTAAGTTCTTCAAAATGTTAATAGTCATTAATGACCACATTTGTGGTACTAAAAAATCCCTTCTTTCAATTAAGTATCTCTTACTGTGGGAAATTTCTATTTCAAATACAAGAATCCATCAAAAAGTGTATCCATAGCTTTAAGGAAATTTTTCATTCCTCCTAATTTACGGAGGTAAATACATTTTTTTGAATTCACTAAATGGACATGTGACACATTTTTCTGGTCAGGGATATGAGATTACTTTAATATTTCGCTCTCAAGTCAACTTACTATGTCTTTAATATAGTCTCTCAAGTCACGTTTTTACAAATGAAGCAGAAATTATCTGCATTATTTACACACGTTCTTGGCATGATGGAAATACAATACACTAAACCACAGCTTACACAATATACTTCTAAACACAAAAGAAGGAAATATACCCTAATGATATTTGTGTTAACAAGTTCATAGATACCTTGATTCTGACACATTACAATCGCAGCATGTCAAAACATGAATGACCCTGCACAGTATTGTCTGGTGATGTTTCAGCATGATATTACATATAATTTTCTTAAATACAGTTTGAATAAAATCGCTACATAAAGGTTCTCACGACAGGTCAAAAAGAGAATGTTAAAATCATTTTTTAAAAAGTAGCTGTCACAAAAAACTGTGCCTGATAATAAAAATCTGAATTCATAACGAAAAAAATCATTAGATTCACTTATCATATTCCTTGTGAAGAAAACCTTGTCGACCGTTATAATAGGACACTGATGTGCAGGACATACACCTATTTACCTGTACTAAGAATCTTTCAAAATATATGCTCCCATTATGGGTCGGGAGATACTTACAACTGTGACAAACGTGATTGATGGGGAGGTTGACAAAAACTATTCTCATCAGATTCTTTTCACAATCTTCACGCAAGAAATAAAAAGTATTTTACAATTTTTTCATTTTGACAAGTCACCTAATCCATCCATTCCTCACCCTTTAAAATATTTTTCTTTTAAAATTTATGAACCTTATTAAAAAAAAGTATTTGTTTAATTCTTCTTGTCCTTTCTTCAACTCAATTGGATTGATTTAGTAACTTCACTACATTGGATGAAGTGAAATTATTAAATTTCTTTACATCCTATAATGTAACCTGTAATACGAGTTTTTTTCACTTGCATGTACCAAGTAATATTACAATGCATAACTCACTTTAGTGCATTCACTATTCTCTCTTTTCGCACATCATATAACAATTTCTCACATTAAAAATAAAATGTTTTGGAGTTCATGTTCCACATTATAAATTAATTCATCTATAGAATGAACAAAAAATCCCAGAAAGCTCAAATATCTTCAAAATTATCATTAACAAAATGATGATGAAATTAAAAAGTTATATATTGTAAGAAAAGGAATCAAACTGTCTTCAAATTAAGCTACCCCATTTTTAGCACGGCAGGCACTCAATCCCAAGGAAGTAAGGACTGATTTTCACAAAGAGCAGTGAGTTCATAGAAGATTTTGAAATAATATTTTCAACAGTTTACATCCAAATCTCTAACAAAGAAACATAATTTGACATGTGTGTAAATCCTTACTCCTACCCGCAACTATAGTTGCATCCTACTTCTTACCAAGAATCCCGAACACGGGAAGTATGTTTAGGAACAATTCAACACACAGATTACAAGGTAAGTATTATGAGAGGGATAAAGGGTAATTTTTAAAGGGAAATATGATTCTTTAATATTACAGGTAGTCATCAACTCATGAAAATATTTAATTTGGCATATTTGAATGTATAATTTTTGACATCTTTAAAACTCTGTATTTTTCAATGTTCAATTACAATACTAATCGTTAAAGACTTGACTACCACCATTATAAACATTACGATTCAACATTCGTGTTGAACAATGTGACATTCGTGTTCTGTTCATGAACAAATTAATTTTAACAGTGCATGTCTTGAGGAGGTATACCATTTATAAAATATAGCAGTACTTATTTTCAAAGAACATATGCTGCTGGATATAGTAGTGTTGATATTGCAACAGAAATTATTTAGAAAGAATCAACATTTCTTCTACTTTATGAAATTCTCAAATTTCATTCAATCAATATGCAAAAAATATGAATGCAACAAAATTGTTTTTGATCTTATACCAAATATTCCAGCAATCAATAGTTTTAAAAATCTTTCATCTTGCTGGCAGTTCCTTAGCTACGAAATCAAAGAACCGCAAGCCATAAAAACAGGAAAACACTTTCTTTATAATCTTAATTTAAACAAAGTGCTTCAATGATGGAAATCAAGGAACAAGTACTAACGCTTAACAAAACGCATAATCATTAATATGTGCAGGGAGAAAAAATGACATATATGAACATGATAAAATAGATTTCCTCTGAATTTTCATTTTCAACAAATATCTATGACTCTTACAAGATAAATTCCATTGAACAAAAAATAACAAGGAAACGAAAGACTACAAATAATCCCTGCAGAAAATATCTCAAATTAGTATATTTCTTTATGTCACATTCTTTGGCACATTTTTTCCAAAAGAACATGACACATAACTCCAATTAATGTCAAAGAAGTATTTCAATGAATGTAAATATGTATAAATCATAAAATCAAGTTCGTTTGTCGTCCACAAATCTCATCAAAATTGGTTTAAAGATTATACATGGGCGACAATTAGAAGTTAGATATTTTCACTTCTCATTTATACACACTTAGAGAATTTAGGATTGTTTAATGCAACACACTACATTCACTTCCTCAGAGTTTTGACCCAGGAGAAAGCCCCTTCTTCTTAACAGATGCAAAACAAGCACCATTTGCATTGCCCTTTCCACCAAGGAGAACCATGAACAGACCATGCACAGCAGTGTGCTGCCATAACGTCTGACACATGTGATCAAGTTGAACCAGGGCTGTGGTATTAAGATCCTCATTCTCTGGATGTACAATGTGAGAGAGTGTGAAATGGTGGTCTAGGGCAATTTGACATGTCCGTTCCACCACAGCTTCATTGGAAGATTCCTCAAAACACTTCAGTCGGCTCATGACGTTATGAGAAGTTCCATTTGGAGTTCCATCAGCATGTAAAACAATATGATTGTAGTCACTCATTCTTTCTGGAAGACTCACCACAGCAGCTGAAAAACATTTTTGAAATTTCAACCCCTCAGTAATGATAAAAAGGGCCAAGCAAACTTTGGAAAATATGGAAATAATGCTGATATACAAATATCAAATAACAATTACAACCAAATTTCCTAGTTACCGTTTACATGAACTCTGAATTATAACTTTATGAATGAATGCATGTATATATTAAATGTTTGAAACATTGACTTAACAATTTTTGTAATAAACAATATTAAAATTGTTTGATTTAATTAACTGTAAACTAAATGCCATCTAGTTTGTTCACATTCTAATTGGATATGGAGATAAAAATTTAAGTGTACATTAGTAATTGTTCAAAAACTTTCTTCATTATGAAGAAACTTTCAAATATTCAAGCACTTGCTAAATAAAAATTGGCAGGAAATATCTAAACGAATTGATCAATACACAAATTTAACAATTTTTTCCCCTAGAAATTACAAAAATAACTTTTGCAAACAAATCCAGTCTCCAATGATTTTTTTTTTTTTTTTTTTTTGAAATAGGAAAATCAAACTTTATTATTCCATTTTAAAACATTTCTAAAGTAAGTTTTGCATTCAGATGTTAAAACCATGTACAGTAATTTCGCCATAACAATCATTGATCATTAATAAAATAAAAGCAAAAATCTGTCAAAATTATACACATTTCTACAATGTTTGGAAGAAACAAAACATCATGACCAAAAGTATCTTCTTACCTTCTTTTTGCACTCGCTGTGCATGTGAAAAAATGCTGGATGCAAAATCCTCATTGCATTCTACCTGTGTATTAGCAGCTTTTCTTTCACGTCGTTTTTCAGCATCTCTACGACCTAACAATACAGCATCTCCATATTCAATTCCTAAAAAGTCAAAAAGGCAGATACAGTCAACAAATTGATTAAACATGGATTCCAACTTTGATTTCTCATGATCTTCAGCCATTACACAGTACAGGGGCACATACAGTACAGATATATACTTGTAATACAGTTATTAAAGTAATTTCATAAAGTAAATTTAGAGGATTTTCAAAATCATACACTAAAATTATAAGTAAATTTGTGTAAATGATTGTTTCCAATTTAAAATTAATAATAAATTCACATGAAATTAATAGAAACTAAAAAACAACCCATATTTTGTAGTGATTAAACTTTATACTGATAATCCGGGGTTTACTTAGTTTTTCTACGATGAAAATATAAATGTTAAAATTGCACACTCCATGACAACTGTATGGTAGTCAATATACAATAGTCTTCATGGACACAGCCTTCAAAAGTTTATGGTTCAAAAGTATTTTAGCACATGTGAACAACCAGAATTCTCATGCTCTACGTAACATTACATTTTTTGTTCAAAACAGAACATGATAGACTCCAAGCAGCTCCAGATGTGGGTGCACATGTCAAGAAAAATCGAAGTAGATTTCAGCAATTTTAAAGCACTTCACATTCGTTGTGATCTGTGATTTAAATAAACTATTGGTGCTACCAACATCACATAAATCCAGGGATTATTTGTAATGACAATATTCTAACCCTGTGTTTCCAAGCACCATTTTTTTCCCTCTGCATTAGGATTCGGGCTGAGGTTCATAGAGTTACCACACCATTCACATTACCCCTACACCTCCTCCAGTCTCCCAACTAAACACAACCATTCCAACACTAAAAAAGTTAAACATTTACACATGCAATTTTCAAAAATTCATAGCTTTTCATTTACATTATTTCAAGATCTAGGTTTAAAGAAACAAACATGTCGATTCTTTGTTCAACATTTGAAATAAATAAGTTATTATTGACAATCATTCTGCAAAGAGCACTACTAAGTAACAAATTGTTGTTGGCGCAAAATTATATGGAAACTACTGACATTTTTGAAAACTTGTACATAAACTTATTTAAAGATCAGAATTTGAAGAACAATTTCATTAAAGTAAAAAAATATTCATTTTTGACATTGTAGGAAGAGGCTGCAAATATTTTCAGCTTTTGCAATTTTTGAAATTTGGTGATTTCAACAAAAATCAGAACTGTGCTGTGTTTTTAAGTAATCCTTGCTCTATCCACAGAAAAAGTTTAATAAAAAAATTTGAGCCGTTTCTGAAACAATTTTGAAAATACTTCATATAAAATACACCCACCCATCCAAATCAAAATAACTGTCTCAACCTTGCTGCACCTCGATTTTGTTCAGGCCAATTGAGGAATATCGAGTATGGAGAAAATTATTTGAATTTGTTTAGGCTCTTGTGTTGACCACAGACAAATCGATGATCAAGTCAACCCAAAAATCATGAATTCTGATTTTGTGTTCAGATATATTTACTGTAATTTACGATACAATTTTTACACTATGGAAACTTTTATTGCTGCATTCCGCAGCACCAGACCCCTAAGACAAGCTGCCACAGTTTGGCCCAGAGAATTAGCCAAGTAAAAGCAGCATGCTAACACCACGAAAGCCACACCTCACAAGCCGTGGCATACGATTATCCCGTCGCAGGTGACAATGCGCATATCCACAGCAATTCGTCTCAAACTCAAATCCTTTCACAGTAGCTCATACTGACGGGTAATCAAGTGACAGACCCCCTGCATTGTAGACACGCTACCGCCTCATCTCATTACGGAGTTATGGGGCCGGTGCAGAATAGGGCCCGCCAGCCACCTGCACGCCGTGACTGTCACACATCATCCTCCCTGCGCTGACACCCATGTTCCAAGAACACTACCCCGGCAGCATGAACCCTCCCAAGGCGACAGCTCTGGTTGCACCGCCAGCCTGGTGCCAGTGGACTCACCTCTCCTCCACTTTGGCCACATGTGGTCCGTCAAGCAAAATACTACGACGAAAATTAGTTAAATCAACGCACTTCGGTTTGCAAGTCTGTTGACAGTTCACTTCTCAAAGTTATTTTTGCACTGACAAGGTACATTTCACAAGATCTACAGTTCTATGAAATTACTTTGTTTTAATAATGAGGGTAAATAGATAGTTAAACATTATTACTAATCACAGGATTTTCAATAACAACGACAATACTAATAATACTAATACACGACAATACTAATAATGAAAATACCAATTATAATAAAATTATAACTGAAATAATACTAACTATTTTAATAAGCTTAACTTACTACCTAATACATTTTACAAATATCCTTAGTTAATATACTTTTAAAACTTTGTACGCTTAAAGGAAAGGGTTCCAAGGCTGTCGCAGGCAACTTATTCCAGTCTGTTATTGTTCTATTTGTGAATGAAAATTTTCCAACATCTTTTCTCTGTGGCCTGAACTGAATTTTGTGCTTGTGATCCCCTCTACTTAAGTAAGTGGGTATATCGAGTCAAATGAAAATATCTTTCTAAGCTGGATAACTGGCACACGCTTTGTACATGGCACAGAGTCTTGCCTTATCCCTCCTGATTTCTAGAGACTCCCATTCTACTTTCTTCCTGTTGCTGCAGAAAGTAAGTTACATACTCTTCTCTGTAATCTATTCAAGTATTCCTTTTGTGAATTTCTATAAGGGTCCCAACAAATCGCCCCGTATTCCATTAATGGACGAACAAGAGATACGTAAGCTAATTATCTCGCTTCCGCAGTACTTTTTTGTAGTATTTGCATAGTAAATTCAAAGACCTCCAGGCTTCCCCTAGGACAAAGTTTACCTGATTTTCCCAATTTAATTTGCTATCAAAAATTATTCCCAGGTACTTACAAGCCAGAACTCTTGGAATATTTTCGTTGCCTAAATGGTATTGACTTTCTCTATATTTGCAGCCCCTACCAAATGTGATATTTTTGCTTTTTGAACTACTTATTATTGGGTTGTTTTTTTTTTCTGCCCAGAAATGTAATGTATCTAGATCATCCTGCAAAATATCCTCATCTACTTTTGATTACGTAACTCGATATATTATACAGTCATCTGCAAATAGACTTAACTTCAAAAATAAATTATCTGACAGGTCCTTTACAAATGCTAGTTATATAAAGTATGAAAATATATGATAGAAAAAGTCGATAAATGTATTTTATTTTCATACATTTTTCTCAGTAATATAGAAAACAGACTTCTTGCATAATGTAATTATGAGCTGTGAGAGAATTGGATAACTATTTTCCAAAGGATTCATAAAAAAAAGCATGCAAATGTTTTCCAGCAAAAACAAATCGAAAAATCTTTCACAACTTTAGGAAGTTTTCCTTTGATTAATACCCACCATTTGCCAACTTCAGTTGAGTCAACTTGATACAAGCACAACTGTCCTCCACTGGACAGTGCCCATGATTACCGTTCTGGATATCTTCAAGGAGAAATTTGTGTGATAGCATTGACAGTTTGCTCTTCCGATTACGTTCCCCTGTTATATTGTATATGACACTTGTGTCAATCACAAATGGATGCATCATCTGCAACAAACTGCTAGGTATGAACATAAAAAATAAAAATTTTTCTAAAGGAATTGATTTTGACAATAAAAGAAGAAAACTTCAGTGAAAAACAAACAAAATTTTGTTCAGCATTTCTTCACATAAACACCCAGCATGGTTCAGTAACCACATAATTATAAATAGTACGAAAATAGGTTTATGAATGTTACTTACATGGCATACTCATTTAAAAAAAATGTTCTTTAAGAATATTACTTTTATTTATATAAGAGAGTTCACAACAAATCATTGTATTACTTAAAGCAATAATAGTTCCACTCTCGACCTCCCAATACATGAAGCATAAAATATTAATCTCTCATTAAAAAAAAGCCCAGAAAATAATAACATAAAAGACGAATACTTAGCTATATGGCAATCACTTCTATATTTAGACTGATCCACTCTCTGTTCATTGAGACCAAAGCCTATTTACATCAACAGTACTAAGTATTCACATTGAGTTCCTCTAAACATTGTAAAGAAAATTAGAATTTTGTATCTGTCCCCAAGGCCATCTTAAGAAAAGCTCCCATAACTCCAAAGCAGTGAGTCAAGGAAGGAATGGGTACCCATGAGTTGAAATGTTACTTTCTCACATTATTTATAAAAGTTACGTAATATTATACTGTAATACTACTTGAACACACACTTTGGGTAATTTTTGAAAACTTTAGCACTATCCTCAAAAAGTTGATATTGAATAATAGATTACATTAACAAAAATATCTTTATATTCAATATTGTCGTTATAGACAGACAAAAAAATTATAACTTTTGTAAATGTGTGAAAATTTAGAGCATTTAGTAAAAATCAGACCTCCACTATTTTTAATAAGTATACTTTGCTCTAGCTAAGAAAAAAAATTTGCAGTCAACTTTGAGAAAATTTTGAAAATGTCATTGCAGCTTTATTTAAAGTCCACCCAAAATCAAAATATCCATTTAAAATTCACAGGCCACGACATTAATCAGATCGATCATGGAATATCAATTTTGGAGAAAATCCTACCAATGATTTAGATGCTAACGTTGTTCACAGACAGGCAGGCATTGTGCTGTAAACCACAGTTTACCAGTATCAAGGACCCACAAAATGTGGATTCTGACAACACAAAGTGTTAGCGAAAATAATTTAATACTTCTAGGAACAATAACTATCCACTTTCTCAGTGTCATGGACCTATGAGATTCTTGTTGAAAAATTGCCATTTTTCGCTGCAGAATTATATAACTTTCACTACACTATGTTAAAGTATAAAAGAAAATAAAGGGGAAAGAACAAAAATTGAAAATACTAATTTCCATAACATCACACAAGTGAAGCACTCTCTTATCTGGTATTTGTATTTGTACTCCGTAAACAGAGTACAAATGTAAATAGCATATAATTAATTACAATTTTTTTCACAGATGACTATCTGGTATCCCCCATATATTTTATCACCTCTATTGTTTTCAATGTAAAAATTACTATGTATTTTATGTTTTTTGAATATGAATTTTACTGGAAAAGAAATTTGATCTGGTAAATTCAATTTAATGATATTTTAATTATCTTTAGACTGTTATTAAGTTTCTCTTTATAGGTTTCTGTCCAGAATTATTTTAGACATTCATATTTAATAAAAACCTTGAAAACAAACACAAGACCAGTGTAGTTAACCAGACTTTAAGAGTATCCAGATACAAGTTCATTAAAATGTTCTTCATTTTTAATTTTGTTTATCTCTATGTTTTAAGGACTTCTTTTCCTCTTCTACAGGAGTTACTATAAAATTAATTTTGCCATTTTTGAAATACATTTCTTACTCTATGCAAGACAAAAAAGTTCTTAACTTCTTTAAAGGAAGCCTTTTTTGCATTCAGTGGCATCAGAGACCAGAGTGAGCATAGAATTGTAGATGTTATTAAAGCTCTTTAGATAAACCTTTAAAGATCTTTGGAACTTTTTGCCTCACATAGGGTAAGAAATCTATTTCAAAAAATGACAAAATTTATTGTCAGAGTAACTTCTGTAGAAAAGAAAAATATGTCTTTGCAATGTAGAGATGAAAAACTTCAAAAATTAATAGAACATTTAAATACATTTTTTAAATTTAAATTATGGTTTCTGGTTAGTGTGATTGTTTTCAATGTTTTTAATAAAAATGACTGTCTAAAAATATTCTGGACAAAAAACCTATAAATTGAGATTTTTACCACTCAAATGAACCAATATTGAAAAATGTTCCTTATATAATGTTGTTTTGAAGAAACGTAAATTTCAATGCACAATCTGCAACAGTTTTAGATGGTGAAGAAAAACAGATGCAAGACTTTTGACAATAGCGTATCATTTTTCAAGTGATTTGATGATCATAATTTTACTCATAATTTGAAAAACTTGTAAACATGTAAGTTGTTATAAAAAACTTAGAAAATATCTACTTTATTATGGTAGTTTTCTTCCTACAGTCGAAGAATAAAAATAATTTCATACCTTTAAAGCTTGCAAATCAGCATTTAATGACTGACCCACAAGAATAGCATCAGGTGGTAAAATATTTCTCAGATCTCTTTGAACATCTTCCAATCTAACTGTGACTTCAGCCAGGGTTTGTTTTGTGATTCCAGAGAACCGAGTCAGGTAGTCTGTAATCCGGTTGTAGGGTTTCACAAAGCTCTCATAAACAACCTAGAATCACCCAATATTAACTTGCCATAATTTCTACATTTTCCATTTGCAGACAAAATGTTGTATTTATTCAGAACACAAAATTTAAATTCAACTGGAAAGAGAACAAAAATGACAAAAAATATTTTGAATGTTGAATTGAAATAAAATTATTTTATGGCAAGATAAAATTAATTCAAACTTCATACTTTTGAAAATGGGAGAAGACAACAATTTTGATTGCAACATGGTGTGAAAACAGTTTTAAAACATTACATTTATATGTTCATAACAATGACAGGCAGACAAGCCTCTGTGCACACAAAAAAAATAATTAATTTTATTATTTATTTATTTGCTGAATAGAAACATGCTTCTCAAGAGAGGAGAAAAGAATACTTGAACTGAACTGAAATATCTTTCATGATGACAAGATAAAATTCTTTCTTTCCCAACCACTTCAATTAAAATTTGCAAAAAAGCTGATACTCTTCTTATGCCAATAGGTCTACAACACAAAACCATTTAATTTTAGTTATGACTTCTTACTCTTAATAAGCATAACGAATTCAGTTTTATATAGTAACTACTTCAGCTCAGAAGAGTTTGTTTATACAAAACTTTCAATTGAAAACTCTCACAAACATACCTCCAGTTTTTCATTCACAATAGATATTCGAGTCACTTCCAGATCTCCTGTAGTAGTTCTACACATTTCACAATCCAGTCCAAACATTGGCGAAGATGGTGTTACATTCTTATAGTAGTCTTTGGTCAATAAAAAATCGGAATACCTGTAAATCACAAGAAAATTAGGGGATTTTGTAAAAACAAAATGTCGTACTGCATATGCTAAAAGAAATTTTATTTCAGATATGATTAGTATTGAAAATTAATTTCATATTCGTCATAAAAATTTTAAAGTAAAGATTTGTTGAAAAGAATAATAATTAACGTTAATGAGGCACATTCTTGCAATTGGTGATATTTTGTTTTTTATTTCATATTCAACATGATCATAATAATTAGAATTACAACCACATCTTTCTTTAACTCTATTTTATTTACTAATCGCAGACATACCTATCTTGTAATTCACCTTTCATTGGAACTGGGTAATTCTGTTCTATCAGCTGAGACACAGAAAGGAGCAGTTTTGTTCGAGAAAATGAGTCAGAAGAAGGAAGATCTGGATCTTTTTCATCTTCTGAACTTTCAATTGGAAAAAAAGCTCTCAGTGCTTTATACACATCTCCATTGGCCCTTACAGCTGCATCCAAACTCCCATGCTCTAAAAAAGAATATATTCTTTAAATTCAATTGGCATAACAGTCACATTTGTGTAAACTTTTGATAACCAAAAATGAAATATAATGGAAAATAATATTCTTTTATAAGAAATATTTCATATTCTTGCATATTCTACATACTACACACATTAATTGAATGAAAGAAATTGATGCAGTTGATCTATCACTCATTAAAAACTATTGGACAGGGTTATGCATCAAGAGACCAAGCACCAATTTCAGAAAATCAACTATCTCACAATTCCTGGAGTACTACGGCGGCAATGTGTAGGTAGTTTTACGGCGGCAATGTGTAGGTAGTTTTACGGCAGCGATGGTGTAACGGTTAGTGTACTGGACTGTTATACCGAAGTTCGCGGGTTCAAACCCGATCGAAGACGTGGATTTTTAAGGGCAAAACAATCCTTCGTACGGCTTCCTTTGGAGGGGAAGTAAAGCCAGCTGACCCATGTTAGTAGATTTACTTGCATGCATAAGATCCTAAAGCCTAAATGACGCCTCTGAGCTACATTCAAATCGCCTGTTTCTCGCCCAAGAAATACCTCCTTTCTCTCCTAGTTGGTGAAAGGAGCGTAGCGAAATTTGCGTGGTCAGACGGAAGAGCGGGCCTGATGGCCCGAGTCTCGCCACGTAAAATAAGGCAAATTCAATTCAATTCAATACTAGATGAGCTAGGCCAACATAAATCATCAGCACTTTTCACTTACAAATGACATTAGTAGTTTTAAGAAATTGTAAGCATGTCTTGTAAATAAAAAAATAATAGGTTTGTTAAACAAAAATAAGGTTTGTTCAACTAAAAAACTTTTTACCTCGCAAACTAAAAAATGTTGTTTGTCTCTTTGATTGCCATTGAAGACTTATTGTTAGTGACGTTTAATTAGTTATTTCAACAAATCATAAACAAATGGCAAGATATAATTCACAAGTTGAATACTATGTCCCTCATAGGGTTGAATCAATTTGATGATGGGCTGTCAAATATGTACTTTATCAAGGTTGTCTACCAAAGGAAAACTGAAAGAGCATTGTTCTTTAGATACATCTGTGTAAAGTGAGTAAACACCAACTTGCAGAACTCAGATGCATACTTTACTTACTCTGTATAAGTCTCTCTTTGCATATTCCAGTTAATGGAACAGAAATTAGCTCTTCAACTAAACTACCATTGTAAGAAGCAGGCATAATTACTTCCAATTGATTTTCAAGAGTGCTGTTTATGAAATGAAACGAGGAGGAATGACTAAAAAAATCATAAAGTGAAACTCCTTCCATAACAAAAACAATTATATGGCTCAATCGAGCCTGTTTCTCCAATATACACCATCTGAAAAACATCAGATCAATGATACTATGAAATAGTATACAGTACTACAGCATTTAAAAAAAATGAAATCTTCTATGTGTACTAATGTATTTGATATTTTGACTACGTTGCACATACCGCAAAGGCCAAACTGGAGCTTGCTGACCCAACAGAGCATACATTAAGATGTACTGAATATCACTCAGAAGTAATGGAGTTCGTGCTTCTTCTTTCATAGATAAAGAAGCCAATTCACCTACAGTCTTCAGTCGAAGAGATGGTATATTCTGAAATAACAAATAACTGAAATTTCTCCAAGGACAATAAAGTAAAAGAATTAGAAAAGAAACAACAGTTAAAAAAGTGTTTTTCCTGATTAGTTCCAACAGTTAATGATAATTTTTGTATCAGGATAATTATAACATATAATTAAATTACAATCTCAATGAATAAACTAAATAAATGGATATTTATTAATTTTTTGAGTAGAAGTAATAAAATTCTTTTAATTTTAAATCAGTTACAAGTTGTATGAACTTATATTTCTGATGTTGAAACAAATTTGCTCATTGTAATTTAATTACTTGAAAAATGTTAGTACTAGTAAAAATGTTAAGCAGAAAAGTATATAGTCAACAAAAATTTGTGAAAGGGAAAACACAGAATTAATGTTTTCTTTATTGTCAAGAGATAACAGCATACATTGAGGTATAATTAAAGTTCCAGCTAAGTATTAGAATTTAGTTAAATTCTAAGCAATTACAAATAATGCAAATGCACATTGTTAAATTACAATTCAATTTTTAAATAATAACAATGAATTTCAGTCAATAAAATTATTTCAAAATGTCAATAAACATCTAAAATTCTATAATGTCATATCAACAAGTTGAAATATAGTGCATCTGCCTTCCTTGTAGGGCTTTTTTTACCCTTTTTAAAAAATTTAAGATTCAGCCTTTCTTTCCAGACCTTTACGCAGTAAAATAGCTAGAATCATTATAAAATGAAGGTTTTCTAATAATTCTTTAACAGGCAGAGAGGAACATATCTGTTACAAAGCATGAAACATTATTTATAAGACACAAGTGTCCAATGATGGAGGCAAATTTACTCAGTTTAGTTTCGTCTTTGCACCCAAATCCAGCTAAATTACATACACTTTCAGTAATAAAGATCCAATACAAACCAAAAATTGAAATGACCTTAAGAACAACTGTTATGGAACTAAAACCTTTTGGCTGCAATTAGCCACTTTCTACACCATAAGTTTAAGAAAATAGGTTCCCTTACAGCTCTAATGCAATTTCAATATGAAATGTTAACAATATGGTATGCTCAAGAAAAGGAGGCAAGAGGCAATATTTTTTCATGGGATAGGAAAAGTGAAATAGCAAAAGAACACAAAATTGGAGGGTATTTTAAATAATCTACGCACTTCCTTCCGCTAAGAAATGTAGTCCTATCAGCTTCTCTAGCTAAGTCAGATCATATCCACTGTAGAAGGCCTACATGTATTTCTCAATGTAATTGAAAGTAGAAGACTGAAAATACTTGAAAGTGGTCTAGTCTTAAATTGTCATGTTCAGATTTGAAAAAAATTGTTTCTTATTAATAGACCATCAAACAACTTCAAAGCCAATTTTTAATGGTACACATAATACTCCTTAAAATTAAATTTTCAATACAATTCAAAAAAATTCTACCTTTGAACGACTTCTTCTTTCCCTCAGCTCATTTTTAAGTTCTGCATAAGTCTCACTAACTTTTTTCTTCTTATTTTTGGAACTGGAAGTAAGTTCCACATTAGTATTGCACTGTTTATCACAAAAGCTTCCTTCATGTTCTGAACAAATGTTTAGAGCGCTTCCAGAAAATTCACCAGATTCCATTCCTTCCACTTCCATAGAGTTCTCTTCTATAATCTTTTGTTCATATGAAATAGTGCAGGTATCACCATGATTGTCTTTCATATCACCATGCTTTTCCTTTCCATCACCACATTTAACATTACTATCACCATGTATGTCACTTGAATCACCATGTTTGTCATTTGAGTCACCCTAAAAGAGAAGAAAAGAAAATAAGATCTCATCAAATCAATATTAATGCAAAAATATAAATATAATTAATATATTTAATTTGATGTTTTAATGCAGAACAAGCAAGGTTCTGTTCTACTTTTTCTTCGAATTAAAAGAATTTGATCAACGTAAGAAGGTATTTATTATTACAAAAGTTAATTTATTGCACTCCAATAATGTTTTTTCAAGTAAAGTTTCATAGAAATGATGCCTGTTTCAAGGTAACAGCCTCACTGTTTACTTGGAACTATACAAGCAAAACAAATCACGTTGAACATAAAAAAATACAAAACAAAACAAATTGTGTTCTCATATTGAGTGGCCAAGTTAACTTCAAGATTTTGCAGTAAAAGGAAGGAAGTACAGGTTTTGGAGCTCACAAAAATGGTTAAACATACCTTTGACAGACACACTATACTTCAATGTTTCTATAGGGGCCAATGACATTAGCTCATAGTTACATGTCCTGCCTTATAAAATGAATCTTTTTAACAGTGGAAATCATAAATCTGAAGCCAAAAGGCCCTGCTGGGAAGGACCTTTGCAAATTAATAGAAAATTGAGTCTATACAACGCATAATTACCAATTTACTTTTATAAGACATCACTTTTCAAGAAAGCCTCCAGAATTCTAACTGCCTAGTTAACACAGGAACAGTGCAAAGTGCTGTTTTAAAAGACTTCCTTAGGTTGTACCATATACTACATATCACCAAAAATTGAATTATACTTTATTTCACATTAAACAAGAGGGGGAGGCACTAACAGGGGAGTATGGTCTTTTTAATGGCATTGTAATTCACTTCTTCACCAAGATGAAAATGTCTGAAAAGGGCAAATTTGTGAAGAAATTCACTTACATGCTGCAAGTTAACACCCTTTTTATGGCGTTTTCTGGATGGTCCTTCAGGTGATGATGAAGGTTCGCTGAGACAATCCTCTACGTCCATTGCTTCAAGATTCTTTCCTTTGTTATGTTTGGCAGCCTTTGCCTAGAAAATTTAACACAATAGAGATGATCAAGAATTAATATGAATCTAGTTATCCATTAAGCTGTAGTGTTAAATACATACTCTATCATTGTCATTCAACTTAGCAATTTCTAAGAAGGCTGCCATTTTCTTTTTCTTCTTTTCCACGCGTTGAATTTGTTTGGCTGTTAGTGGTCTCATCTTGATCAAGTACAATCACCCTTCCTACCCTCCAAGTCCTCTGAAATCTGTAAATAAAAAACACTGAAATGATACAATAGCTAAATTGTCAACTGGTTTCTAAACAGTCAATAAGCATTTTTGTGGATGTCAGAAACAGGAAATCTTTGCAACATGTAGTAAAATAAACAATGCCTAAAACCACTCATATTACATGGAAATACAAACATCAACCTTGCCATCAGAGCTCCGGTATATTTAATATCTACTTTCAAGAATTCGATTATCCCAACATTATTTTCCTGCTCACAAACAAAATGACATACCTCTAGTTACGGAAACAATAACCGTGAAATTATTGTTTTCGTAACGTACCGTCTATAAAGGTAAGAACACTTAAATACATTGGAAACTTTAACTTATTCGGCCAGGTGGTTGTAAAATGGCATCATTGTCCTACAATTAATTGTTGACTCGAAAACAGCGCAATAACCTCAATGTTTTGTTTGTCAGTTTCGACACCAATGGAGCCATTATATGCTATAGTATAGCTTATACAGCTATACAAGACCACGCGCTGTGCGGTGCGTATTTTAATTAGCTATCGATTTGTTCCATTTTGATCTCTCGATATTGTGCAATCGAATTTTGGCGCATTACAAATTTCTCAAACATGATTTCAGCATAAAATCATGCCCTTAATCTCCTGATTAATAGCAACTGGTACCCTAAAAAATGGGGATTATGACTCATCAGTTGAATGACGGAAATGCAATTTAGATAAATGAATTAGTATCTATTAACAAGCTATACTTAAAGTGCGACCATCGATGAATAGATGGTGTTAATTTATAGTGCGACATTTTTTGTAGTCCCTGTCCCGTATTTGTTGAGAAGAAAATAGGACGCCAAAATGTCCCGTTTTTGTGGCAATGACTAATCAGAGTAAAGTGCCGTCAACAATTTCAAATTTTTCATAATTCTGTGGCATGTCTCTTTTTAATAGAGAAATAGAAGAAGAGAAATAGAGTAGGAAAGGTACTATAAAAAATGGAAAAAAAATATTCTGAAATGAAATTACTCCTCCACCTGTTGGTGGAATCGATGCCGAATTCATGTCGTTGAATTCACTTTTATTAGTATAGAAGATAGAACAAGGGCTTCATATGGATCGAAGTAGGTAGTGTTAGAATCTGTAACTGCTACTTCTCACCGAATGATCCCATTGATACATTCGAATTAGAACTGTACAACCTAGAAGATAACATGCGTACTGCTACAGGAGAAGTCTTAATAGCCGGGGACTTCAAAGCGAAATCCTCGGAGTGGGAGTCATCAAGAAGCGACAGAAAAGGGTCTCTTGTCCATGGCCGGATTTAAGTAGTGCGGGGCCCCAACCACAAAATTGTGTTGCCCCCCCCCCCCACCCGAAAAAATAGCTCCATCTTTATTAAAAAAAATAAATGTATTATAGTACAAGTACTTTCTGTACAGATACAGATGAAAACTGATTTGTTATAGAAATTTTTACTAGTGTTACATTTTTTTACATTAAATACATTTTACATAATTTTTTTCTGCTCTTCACTGCAGAAAATTGGTACACAGTAGACTACTTGATGAACAATTATTTCACAGACAAAAAATATATTATGCGTATTTTTCCGAAACGCGGGGCCCCTGGTGAATGGGGGCCCCCAAGCAACTGCTTGTTTTGCTTGTAGGTAAATACGGCCCTGCTCTTGTCACAGACATGGTAGATATAGCGAGGGGAAACTTCGTGGTGCTGAACAACGGAGGAGTAGCAACCTACGAGAGATACAACACGAGATCAGTCATAGACCTGACCCTGTCCTCAAGGAAAACCGCGGGACAAATCACAACTGGACGGTTCTGGAAGACGTCTCTCAGTGATCATAAATATACAGAGTTCAGCATACAAAATAAAACACAGGGAATTGAAGTACGGGAAAAGAAGCTGAAACCCTGAACCAGAATGCTCCGAAAATTAAACCAGAAAGCTCTAGAAGAGTTCCTGAAGGAACAAGCGACCCTTAACAGATTGAATTGGACAGAAGGCCCAGGAAACAAACTACTGGGAAATGTGAGAACAACGATAAATACAGCCAAGGAGGCCTGTGAATACTTTACAATATTCTTTACCCTGTAACCGATCAATGCCAAACAGGTCGAAAGCAAACCCCACTCGGAAACCGATGTACTGGTGGACGGACGAAATCTCAGAACTGAGAAAAAATGCCAAAAAACGAGACATCAATAAACGCGCTCCAAAGGATCACAGACACTACGAGAGGCTCTTCGACAATGCAGAAAGGACCTAAAACACGCTATCAACAATAGTAAAAACACTGCTGAACGGAGCTATTAAAGGAAATAGACAACGACCCATGGGACAAACTGTACTAAATTGTCACAAAACTAAATTGCAGGCGGAAAACTCCCGGATTCGATGACCTTACATGGGTAATCCAAGTTATAAAAAAAATTGTTTCCATCGCATTAAAAACCTTCGATAGAACAATGCCAGCACTGTACAATGTTTATGCCAGCCAAATGCCAAATGCCACAAGCCAAATGTTTACCCCAGAAGAACTACAGAAAGTATGCAGTACCCTTAAGAACAAAAAGGTCCCAGGGCTCGACAGGATACACAACAAAACTCTGAAGACAGTGGCAAAGGTCCACCCCAACTTCTCCTGAAAGCATACAATACATGCTTCAAGGAAAACGTTTTTTTTTTTTTTCGAGGGTATGGAAAAAATAGAAACTTGCTCTCTTCTTAAAAGGCAGCAAACCACAACACGAGCCCACATCTTACAGACCAATCTGCCTACTAGACACGATGGGAGAGGTATTCGAGGGCCTGATACTGCAAAGACCACAGACATGGCTAGAGGAAACACACGGTCTGTCGGAAAAACAATCTGGCTTTCGAAAAGATAGATCGACAGTCGACGCCATCAAAACAGTAGTAGAAAAGGCCAGAGAAGCCAAAGAAAGAGCAAAGAAAGAATTCTGTGCCCTCGTAACGCTCGATATCAGGAACGCCTCTTTGGCTCCTGAACTCGGCCAAATGGGAGGATTTTATCAAGACTCTGATAGAGAAGAACACCCCAGAGTACCTCACCAGTATGATAAGGAGCTACCTAAGCGACCGAAAGACAATTTAGGAAGGCGAAGGACAACCTAATGAAATGACCTGTTGTGTCTCACAAGGTTCGAAACATGGTCCTATTTTATGAAATATTATGTACGACAGCCTACTAGGCATAAAACTCCCGCAAAAGTCTCAATAGTGGGCTTCGCAGACGCCGCAATAATAGTGGCAACGGCGGAAACATCGGCTCTACTGGAGGTCATCGTGAACACCCTGAGAAGAGTGATGAGATGGCTGACGTCCAAAGGAGTGGAAGTGGCAGCCCATAAAACGGAAGAATTAATCATCACGGAACGGCGATTCTACCCCAACCGAACATTTCTAATAGGCAAGGGAAAAATACAGTGTCGCAAGAGACTTCGCTACCTAGGAATGGAAATTGACAGGAAGCTAAGTTTTGGACCACACGTTATCGAGACGACGGAAAAAGCCCTAAAAATAGCAGCAACGCTTTCAAGATTGATGCCAAACATCAGGGGCCACAGCGACAAGGAGACGACTTTTTATGAGTGTAATGCACTCGAAAATGATCTATGCAGCCCCGATCTGGGCAGAATCTCTTCAAAACAATAATTTGAGAAAGAAAATGCAGTCTGTCCAGAGGTAAGAAGCTCTATGCATAACATCGGCGCATAGAACTGTATCCGGAAGTGCTGTTCTTCTGCTGGCGAACGTCCCTCCTATTGACTTGCTTGCTCCAGTAAGGAAAGAAGTTTACGACTACTCTCATGAGCAAGAAGGTAACTGACGGCGAACGCACCAAGATACAAATAGTGCAATTCAAAAAGCTAAAGAAAATGTGATGCACCACTGGCAGAAACGCTGGGACAGAGAGGAGACCGGCAGATGGACTCATAGGCTCATCCGAAATATATCCAAATGGATTAGCCGCAAACACGGATCCATGACATACCATTTAACTCAGGCATTCACAGGGTATGGGTTACCTTAAAAGATTCAGAAAGACAGAAGATGCGGTATGCTTCTACTGCAACCATGAAGTGGACGACGCCGAACATACGCTGTTCCATTGCCCGAGATGGGACACGCTAAGGCATCGCATGATATGGGAGGTCGGGTGTAATGTCTCACCAGAAAACATGGTACCACTAATCATCTGTAACAAGGAGAAGTGATCAGCAATAGAGAGATACATCACTGCCATTCTCAAGAAGAAGGAAGAGGACGAAAGAAACCAGTCATAGTTGAACCTGAATAGCACCTCGAAGTAATACAGCTGGCACCATCCTGAAGTACTGCATAATTGCGGTTCCAGGGTGGATAACGCCAGGAACACAAAGGGTTTGTGGTTTTAGTGGGTAAAAATCTCACACTGTTGAGGAGTGCGGGCTCCTCTTCGTCTTTTGAAGATTTCCACAGTTCCCCTCGTTAAAAAAAGATAGATAGATGGATAGATAGATAGATACATACATACATACATACATACTGTTACGCCCCCACGCAGTCCCGGCGACGTGGGATCGTCGGAAATGCGCGGTAGCGGCTCGGTCCTAGCTCAGTCGGTTCTCTTACCCTTTCCTATCTTAACACTAGGCGACGGAAGGAATTACAAGATAAATTCATTGAATTGCACATAAAAAAACAATCTGGTCACTGGTAAAAGAAAAAAACAACATTTATTCCTGGTCCACTGTACCAGGGAAGATACACTGAGAAACAAGGAAGATTGTAAATAAATGAAAAATTAGAAAGAAATTACAACTAAAGAAGAAGTTATACATAAAAATTATCCTATAACTAAGATTACAAGTTTGTCCTAGTGAGGGCTTTTCTGTGTCTCAGCGCGGCACCGCGTTGAAAATTGTCTTTAAGGGTTTTTTGGCCCTGATTACGTTGCCTGGGTACCTTCCGTGGCAGATGTGCTGCAGTGGGCCCGTGCGGGGCGCGGCGGAGCTCATAGATGGCCTTCCCAGGGATGCGGTTGTGCGCCCCCCCCCCCCCAGAGGGGCGTTAGCGGCGGCTGGCGGCGTCTGCGCGGGCAGCGACCGCGTGGGGCGGTGACGTCAGCGAAGGGTCGTCTGAGGCTGCTTCGGCGGCCCAGGGCCTGGCGGCCCCCTCCGGGTCGGAAGCGTATCTCGACCGGTTAGGTGACCGCAGGTTCGTCAACCGTCCGAATTTATGTTAAACGTTCGAGGATCGGCTCTCGATCACAGGTGCGGAGCACACAAAATTGTTTCCCGCTAGGTCTGCGATTCCTCTCGATGAATCTTCAGAGAGTGCGAATTTTGCAGCGAATACATCTGTAGTCGAACGATCTCGAGCAGTGACAAAGATTCGCAAATCCCCTCGTAAGTGCCTTCGCACTTCCTCTTCTCAAGAAATTTCAAGTGAGTGCGCGCCTCTCTCCCCAGAGGTACGCCCTCCTCTCTCCGAGAATTCTTCTTGCCAAGTCCTCTCGATTTGTACCTCCGTCAGTCGTCCTCCGT